TATTCAGGTATGGGCAATGATATATGAGGAATGACATATTTCATTCCTCTGGCCATAAGGACTGGTTCATTGTTGGACATGTGACTCCAGTTAGGTCAATGAGTTTCCACCCCAAGACTTTTCTGGAACTATATGTAAAGTGAATCTATATCAAATGACATTGCCAAACGAACAGTTTGTACACATGGAGCTGTTTCCAACCATCACTGTACCACAGAAAGAGCCAGTCCACAAAAATATAATAAAAATAGACAAATGGCTCGTGCTGATGTTATGTGACCCCGCATCCAGCCTAGACCAATCGCTACTGACTTTTCAGTTATGAGAGACAACACATTCCTTCTTTTTGCTCAAGCCAGTTTGAGTGGCATTTTTGTCACGGAAAGACTCCTTAGGAGCTGGACTGTGTCTCCTTAATTCATATGTTGAAGTCTTAACAGTACCTACTACAATAGCTCAAAATGTGACTGTATTTCCATAGGATCCTTAAAGAGATAAAGTTCAAACGAGTTCTTCAGGGTAGGCACTAATCCACTATAACTGGTGTCCTTATAAAAGGAAATTAGGACACCGACGCACACAGACTGGGAGTTGGCCATATGAGCATGAAGCAATCAGGTGGCCATCTGTAAGAAAAGGAGTGAGGCCCTGGGAGAAACCCACCCTGCCATCACCTTGATCTTGGACTTCCAGCCTCCAGAACTGTGAGGAAATCAATCTCTTTTGTTTCAGCCACCCAGTCTATGGTACTTTGTTATGACAGCCTGAAAAAACTAATACAAGGCTCTGAACACTTTCTAAATTTGTATCTGGAGGTGAGAGAATACATGTTGCAGATTGTGAAACAGAGAATCAGCTCACTCAAGGTGGGGTGGGGCAGTGAGGACCTCTCGATTTTGAGCAGGAAGCTGGCAATTTCTGTTGTGCAGTAGCAGCAAGGCAGTGGTTAAACTGTATCCTATTTTATCTTGGTGCTCTGACCATGGGGCTACTGAGGTTGAAAGTTAAAGAGAGATGATGGAAAAGCATCAGGCTGGTGGAATAAGATGAATTTATTTTGTAGCCTTCAGTTAGGTCCTACCAGAAAGACAAGTTTTGTTAGAAATGAGCCATCTGAAAGCAGCAAGGGAAGAAAAGACAGCTTTGCTATGGGAGGCCCTTTCTTCCTATAGCTATCATCTTAGAAAGTTAGATGTCTCTGTCTGGGCGTGGTGGCTCAAACCTGTAATCCCAGCACTTTGGGAGGCTGAGGCTGGGGGGGATTACCTGAGGCCAGGTCAACCTGACCAACATGGTGAAACCCCGTCTCTACTAAAAATACAAAAATTAGCCAGGTGTCGTGGCATGCGCCTGTAGTCCCAGCTACTTGGGAGGCTGAGGCAGGAGAATCGCTTGAATCTGGGAGGTGGAGGTTGCAGTGAGCCAAGATGGTGCCACTGCACTCCAACCTGGGCAACAGAGTGAAACTCCATCTCAAAAAAGTTAAATAAATAAAAGAAAAGAAAGTTAGATAGATGTCTCTGAGCTTCGCTGAATTGAAAAGTGAGATTCTCTGTCATCAATTAACATTACTTCTCACAAAGCCTAGGGTGTGGAAAACATATCAGAAGATAAGATAGGAATCAGAGAGAAGCTTCATTCCTGTTCTTCTAGGCTTCTTCCAAACATCTTTCAGATATTTAACAGCCTGAGAAAGGTGACAATGGTCTCCACTGTAAAGAGTCATCCATCGGACATAACCAAGGGGCAAGGGCCAAGTTATCTGTGCTTTGAGGGTGCTGGTTCTGTCCTGGGGCAGCCAGCATGGACAATACTAGGTTGAGGAGTAGGTGGGATAGCAGAGCATTAGGGCCTATGCTGAGACAAAAATCCCACAATAAAGGGTCTGGAATCTAGGACTGTGACCAAACATATTTGACTTGGGCCATTGGTCAATAGAGTTGCCTCATATTTTTTTGTTTTTTTTTGAGATGGAGTTTCACTCTTGTTGCAATGGAGTGCAATGGCATGATCTCAGCTCACTGCAACCTCCACCTCCTGGGTTCAAGCGAATCTCTTGCTTCAGCCTCCCAAGTTGCTGGGATTACAGGTGTGCACCATCACACCTGTCTACTTTTGGTTTCACCATGTTGGCCAGGCTGGTCTCGAACACCTGACCTCAGATGATCCCCCACCCCAGCCTCCTAAAGTGCTGGGATTATAGGGGTGAGCCACCGTGTCCCCCCGCCCACCGCCGATTTGCATGATTTCAAACTGTGTAGTTATATTGCCCAAGAAACTGCAAGCTTGGACAAAAAAAAGGTGGCAATGGCTCAACTTCCAAAGCAATTTTCTAGCTCCTCTCATCTGCACCAATGGCAGTGGGATGTGTGGCTTCCAAGGGGAACACTTCCTAATACCTTTCTAGGTCCTGGTGGTTTGGGTGGTAGGTGGGATGGGAGGCTTACCTCCTTCTGCCCCCTTTACCTGACAAGTGCAGGATAAGGCAAGTGACTCAGGTTTGATTAGCATCATTTTCCATCCCCCTGATCCCAGTGGTTGGTTCAGACCAAGTAACTGCATTATGACTCGATCCTAGGGTTGTTTTGCAGGAACTGTTGGGAAAGTGAAGCACTTCATCCTTCAGTTGCTAAATTATAGAATAAGCTTCGGGTAGGATGTCACTCTATAGAAAGAGCTGACTGAAAATGAATTAAAACTGAGGAACGTATAGCTGGGAAATATATACGTGGAGAGAGGTGTTAAGTACTTGTGATGGTGGCTGACCTCTAGGATCCAGCAACGCCTGAAGTGATTGCTACTTCTGGATTTCTCAACTTTTTCATTATAAGAGCTAATACATTTCTCCCCCCGCTTCACTTTTTATTGTTATTTTCTCAGAACCACACTTCCCGCCTTTCTTTCCTCTTTTTCAAAGGAATTCACTTGCCTCATCCGGCACTTGTTGGGTGCTGGGGCAGAAGGAGGTAAGTACTCCCCAAAACCACCAGGATCCAGAAGGGTATTAGGAAATGTTCCCCTCTGAGGCCACATGGCCCCCTCCTACTGGTGCAAATGAGAGAAGCTGGAAAATTGCTTTAAATGTTGTCCAGATGCCACCTTTTTTTCTCCTTTCTTGATTTCTTACCTCCTTCTCTTCTCCTCTTCCTCCTTCCTGCTCCTTTCCTTACCCCCTAGATTTGCTTGCGTCAGTTGGAATGGTACTTTTGGCTCTCATAACCAAGAACCATGAGTAATACAGGAGTCATCAACACTCTTTACACTCTTTAGCAGTTGGAGACCTAACCAGATAGATGCCCGGGCACTGGGGACACAAAGTGGAATAAAGTTGAATGAGAAGTGGACTGTGTCTTGGAGAAGCCCTCAGCACTGTGAATCTTGGACATTGTACAGTGTGGCACGTGCCACACTCACAATGTATATAGAGTGTGATGTGGAGAAAGAGTCCTCATTTGGACTGAGGAATTAGCGAAGGCTTCCAGAAGCTGAGTAGGAACTAGAAGGAAGGACGTTTCAGGTAGAAGGAATAACCGCATAAAGACAAAGGAGTGTCAGATGGCACATTATCCTTCATTATGGAGACTCCAAGTAGTTTGATATGGCTGGGACGGAAGGTGCCTTTAGAAATGTGAAGGCAGATGGTGCCGAGGGTAGGAAGACATCAGACCACGAGGGACCTTTGTCCTTCAGGTATAAAATCATTTAAAGATTTAAGTGGGGGAAAACATGGTCACATTTGTTACTAAGATGATCACTTTGGCTGCAGTGTGGAGGATGGATTGAGAAAAAGCAATTATTATCTTACCATAGGATCATCAGAATCTTTCTTCAATAAATGCGAGAAAGGGCACTCTGTTTTTCATGATATTCTGATTGCCAGCATCTTGACAGAAGGGCTATGGCAAAACCGAAAAAACACTATCAACATTAGGCAAAAAAGCAAAACAAAACAAAAGAAAACAAAGATCTCTTTAGCCCCAACAGTGCTAATTTTTGCATACCCAGCAATTACTTTTCTAATGAAAGTCATTGCTGCCAAAATCAATCAGTATAAATGTTGGAGACTCCTTTTTCCTTCCATGAAAAGCTTTTACTATTTCGTTTCACTAAAGCTTAAAGAGAACTCAGTGTTTATGGTTCATTCTAGAGCGATCCACCACAGGCATGCTTTAGGATGATGGTCAGGGAAACTGTCATTTAATCTCAAGGAAGCTGTCATTTGATTCCATTCAAAACTAGGCAGTACACATCAGCAGGCAATACAGTCTGATGCTGTGGCCTACTTTGTTGGCTGAAGCCTTCCACTGTCCTGGGAGGGAACTTATTTTTCTTTCCTTTCATCTCTTATACACATACATGGAATATACACGTTGGTCACTCTAGAAAACACATGGATAGTCCTAGAGCAAAATGGGTTTCAAGGTTATTTAATTTATGCCTCTTAAAACCTCAAACACTTTCCTCCCAGTAAAATTTCATGCAGTATACAGAACTTTTACTTAAAAAAATTATTCATCTTCTCCTTACTTCTCTTTATCACCTACTTTTTTCTTTCTTTTCTTTTTTCTTTTTTGGATGGTGACAGGGGTCTTGCTATTTTGCCCAGGCTGGTCTCAAACTCCTATCCTCAATTGTTCCTCCTGTTTTGGCCTCCCAAAGTGCTGGGATTACAGGTGTGAACCACTATTTACAAAGTTTCACACTCCCTTAGGGAATCCACTGGGAACACATCTTTATAGTGTCCGTGGAAAAGGTTATGTGATTTAAGAAACACTTGTAGCGTCTATACCATTTAATATCTAGGAATTTGTTGATTTTTTAGGATCTTTGGATGAATGGGTTTTTAATTTTATCCAGCTTATTTAGAAGAAATTGCCATGCTTGCTTTAAAAGGGTTTCTTTTCGGATCCCAACGGCGCCGAGCGTCGCGCTCCGCCCCCGCCCGGGGGTCGGTCACGGTCTGCGCCTGCGCAGGCCCCGGTTTGCCCGCCATTCTGCGGGACGCTGGCTGCGATGGGTTGGGGAAATGGACGCCTGGAGAACGGAAATCCAGTTTTCAAAATGGACTCGAGAAGAGAGAACCTAGCGGAACAATAACAATGGAAGAAATTGGGAACATTATCACAAAGCTATCAACCTGCCAAATTCCAGGCTCAGATGATGTCACAAGTTAAAAAAAGTCCTTCATGAAAAAGATCTTAAGCAACGTGATGGATTCAGAAGCTCATGAAAAGAGGCCACCAGTACTTACATCTTCAAAACAAGATATATCACCTCATATTACAAATGATGGTGAAATGAAGCATTACTTGTGTGGCTGCTGCGCAGCCTTCAACAACGTCGCAATCACATATCCCATTCAGAAGGTCCTCTTTCGACAACAGCTGTATGGCATCCAAACCCGGGATGCAATACTTCAGTTGAGAAGGGATGGATTTCGAAATTTGTATCGTGGAATCCTTCCCCCATTGATGCAGAAGACAACTACACTTTCACTTATGTTTGGTCTGTATGAGGATTTATCCTGCCTTCTCCACAAGCATGTCAGTGCTCCAGAGTTTGCAACCCGTGGTGTGGCGGCAGTGCTTGCAGGGACAACAGAAGCAACTTTCACTCCACTGGAAAGAGTTCAGACATTGCTTCAAGACCACAAGCATCATGACAAATTTACCAACACTTATCAGGCTTTCAAGGCCCTGAAATGTTATGGAATTGGAGAGTATTATCGAGGCTTGGTGCCCATTCTTTTCCGGAATGGACTCAGCAATGTCTTGTTTTTCGGCCTTCGAGGTCCCATTAAGGAGCATCTGCCTACCGCAAAGACTCCCAGTGCTCATTTTGTCAATGATTTTATCAGTGGAGGTCTATTGGGTGCCATGTTGGGATTCTTGATTTTTCCAATTAATGTTGTAAAAACTCGCATACAGTCTCAGATTGGTGGAGAATTTCAGTCTTTCCGCAAGGTTTTCCAAAAAATCTGGCTGGAACGGGACAGAAAACTGATAAATCTTTTCAGAGGTGCTCATCTGAATTACCATCGGTCCATTATCTCTTGGGGCATAATCAATGCAACTTACGAGTTCTTGTTAAAGGTTATATGAAAAAACCCATCAGTTAAGTGCCATTTATTAACTGAATAGACCTTCTAAGAAGAATGCAGTTTGGCCTCTTTCTTAATTGGCCAAACACAAGTTGGTGTCATAACTCCGGGCCACAGTGAGTTATGGGCAAAGCTGTTTTCCTTAAGCATCAACAAAACAGAATAAAATGTTCCAATAGGAAAATATAAGGGTTTTATTTGTTTGTTTTGTTTTTTATCATTACCTAACAGCTTTAGGCTAATTGCCTGGTAAATAGCTGTCCATCTGATGGCCTTTGACAGGAAACCTAATCCCCAAGATAGGATTCTTTTTCTCAAGCCAGTCTTGAACTCCTGTGTTGAGACATAAGTGGCTGTGACTGGCCGGAAAGACGGTCCTCAGGGGCCAGAGGCTCCTCAGGCTTCCTTTGTGACTCCATTGCTTGCTTCTCTGCCCTCAGAAGCAGCTGCAGAGGATAGTTTTCATTAAGCTCAAGCATATGACAAAGGGGCAGAACAGAGAAGAAAAACAGCTTAATAGGTATAGGCTTTTCATGATAAATTGCCTGTATTAGTTTTGAAACTAAGCACCTATCAGATAGTCATTATACTATTTCTATTTAGATATGGTAGACCAAGGAGCTCTGAAAGTTCCCATTTTGTTTTCTAGGTTTGAAAGTTTTCTGTTTGATTCTGACTGTGACCTTCAACCCTTCCAAAATATTCTTATGTTAATTCCACTTATTTCATTGCCGAAAGATGAAGGGACTTAAATGTTGTTATAGGTGTTCCATGCTGTTAAGAAGTTTGCATATTGTGTATAGATCAAATTCTGTTTAGCTTAGTTTCTTTGAATTATTGATGCCATCTCAGCAAAGGTCTGTGGTTATTTTTCCTGTGCAGTAGGAGTTGGTCATATTCAAGCATCCTGTTCTCTTAAAACTCTCCTTTTAAAAAATAAACACTTTCATAACATTTTGTTTTGGCGGTCTACTAATGCAATCCCACTTTTCCCCCTAGTTTCTAAATGTTACAGAGTGGAGGGGAAAAGACTCAGGATGGGTTTCAGCCCACAGTGTTCGCTGTCTTTTATTTTACTCTTGGAAATAGAGACTCCATTAGGGTTTTGACATTTTTGGGAACCCAGTTTACCACTGTGTCAGTAAAACAGTAAGATAGTTTGAGAGCGTATGATCTAAATAAAGACATTTGAAGAGTTAGTTTGAATTCTAAAAGTAGGTAATAGCCAAATAGCATCCTCATCCCTTAACAGACGAAAACTTCTTTGTCAAAGGAATTAGAAAATGTGAAAATATTTTTTCCAGACGAAACTCATGCCACTTCCAATTGGCTAATGAAATATAAGAGACAGATTGAAAAAGTGGATTATGAATCTTAAAACCCTTTCTGTAAATATTATGTAGCTAAAGATGATTTCCAGCATCTGACATGACGGTAGGTTTCTTGTTAACCAGTTTTTCTTCTTTCTGGGTAATTGCATGTGAATATGTGCACATACTGACCAAAATAAAGGCCTCGACTTCGTAGTTTACTGAAAGTTCCTGGGCAAATAGTCCATAAAAGCTGTTTACCTCTGAATGCACTGTGGCTGGTCAAATATAGTGAACATCCTTTTTCCAGCTGTAAAGGATGAAGTGTATTAAGCATTAGGCAGACATTAATAAAGCTAAATAGCCATACAGCAGCTCTGTCTGACAATGTTCTGCTGGATATTGCAGTTTATTTTCAAGGTGCAGATGTAAGGATTTTAAAAAATAATTTGTCACCAAATAAATATGAGTAGCATCCTTTGGCCTATTAAATAGAGTCAGGATTTGAAGGGAATTGAGTTTGAGAAATGAATAAATAAAGACACCTTGGTGCCTGACACCCTCATTCATGTGTGTGACTTTGAGCACTCACAGGCACTTCTAGCTACTCAGCCCAGGGCAGGTGGGTTAGCCTGGGGTTATACCTTGGCCCTGGAAATAGACACCATTGGGCCTTTGGTTTTGTTAGGCTTCCTTTTGTCTTTTCACTCCATACAGGTGGTAGAAATCTGAGTTCTAAAGCACTTTTGTGAAATATAAGCTAAGTGAGAATTCTAAGTAAAATGCTTTGGTTTCTGCTGGCTCAAATAAGTGACATTTAAAACAATTACTAATAAATATTTTTAATGGTTGTAACTCAGCATTTTAAAAAAATTTTCTTTGTCACTCTTTACAGCTTTTGAAGACAAAACTGCAAATACATTACCAGGGATGGTTTTGTCTTGTCCTATAGACTTCTTAAATTTGACAAAAAAATTAGCAGAACTTGTAACCAACAGCTTTGTCTGAACTTGAAGTCAAAATGTGTTGTTAATAAGAGATGCTAACTATTGCTTTTACCTTCAGTGTGAACTAGTATGGTAATAACTTTGAAAAGGCATAATCCCAGCACTTTGGGAGGCTGAGGCTGGCGGATCACTTGAGCTCAGGAGTTTGAGACCAGCCTGGTCAACATGGCGAAACCCCGTCTCTACTAAAAATACAAAAAATTAGCCAGGTATGTTAGTACCCACCTGTGATCCCAGCTACTCGGGAGGCTGAGGCAGGAGAATCGCTTGAACCTGGGGGGCGAAGGTTGCAGTGAGCCGAGATCGTGCCACTGCACTCCAGCCTGGGCAACAGAGCAAGACTCCATCTCAAAAAAAAAAAAAAATTGAAAAGGCAAACATGATTGAATATCTGAAAAGCTTTAAAAGTGGCCTTTCTGTTACGTATGTGGCACAAATGGCTCATGAGTGCAGGACACTTATGGTCTTGTGTCCTATACTTCGTGTGTGATGCCACCAGAAATGTTATGAATTCTGTATTGAACACACTGAGAGTGGTATGAGCCCTCAGGACTGCACCACAGACTAAACACAACCTTGATATGGTGGCAAGTATGTGTGTCTTTCTTGTTTCATTAGTGGTTGGGGAGAAAATGGATGTTTTTGTCTAAATAGTCGATATTCATCTTAACATGGTTGGCTGTATAATCACCGGCTATATTGTGAACTGTGCAATAAAACAGAATCGTTTGTGTGAATAATTACCTTCGCATACCTGAAATTCCCAAGCTCAGTTACAATGCAATACTCAGTATGAGGCTGTGCAAACATGTAAGGGAATAATGGTGGTTGATGGGATATATATGAAATGGGATCTAGAGAACTTCAAGTGAAGCCAATCATGTTGAACTAACACTGGTTCAGTGTAGATGAAATAGAGTGAGGGGTATGCAGTCATAAAATGAAGGGTGGACAGGAGATTACATGTGAAGAAAGGGTAAGCACTCAGACTTGGTTTCTTTTAAATTAAAATATTTCTTTTCTCATGTGCAAATGTGTATCAAAGACTTGAACAGGCATTCTCTTGAAATTTGAGGATTTTTAGTTTTGAATGCTGTATTTGCTTAATATTAAATATGTGTTGCCTAATGGCTCCCAAATTGTGTGGGAGTCTCGAAGGTTCGTTATTGAAAGTGGTTAAGCACACAATGCTATTTTTGTTTGATAGTTTGAGTTTTATGACCATATGAGTTTAAATGAAATATGTTAAATGTTTCAGAGTTAATACTTTTTGTTTTTGATAATTTGGAATAAAGTTTGTTTTTTAAGCCCCTCTCCCCCCAAAACTAACTAACTAACTAACTAACTAACTAACTAACTAACTAAATAAATAAATAAAAGGGTTTCTTCTCACATATCAGGCAGTTGTGGGATGGGAGTTTATTCAGACTACTTTTACGTTTTGGTTGATGCATAGGACTGTGGGTTCACATGAGCCTTAGTTAACCTTCTGTCAGTATAGTGGTGTCTGACATTCTGCATTAAGGAAATTTTTTTCTCCCATCAGAATCTGTAACTAATGGTGGTAAACTTCATGCATGTATTTCTATAATAACACACCAGATTTGTGGTCTATAATAACCAGCAGTGTAGACCACAAATAATGAAGAATATAAGCTTTAGAATGACATATACCTGGCCAGGCATGGTGACTCACGCCTGTAATCCCAGCACATTGGGAGGCTGAGGCAGACGGATCACAAAGTCAGGAGTTCGAGATCAGCCTGGCCAACATGGTGAAACCCCGTCTCTACTTAAAATACAAAAATTAGCTGGGTATGGTGGGGTGTGCCTGTAATCCCAGCTACTCGGGAGGCTGAGGCACAGGAATTGCTTGAATCCAGGAGGTGGAGGTTGCAGTGGGCCGAGATCACACCACTGCACTCCAGCCTGGTGACAGAGTTAGACTCCATCTCAAAAAAAATAAAAAGTAAATAAAAAGAATGAGATATACCTGTGTTCAAACTCTAACTCTGTTACTGACAAGTTATATGTCATTAGGCAAGTGACTCTGGGTTTTTTTTCATCTGAAAAATAACATATTTACTGCAAATGGTTGCTTTTAATTATCAGTAAAATAAAATGCCAAGTAAGCCACTTACTATGACATCTATAAATAGGCTTTCAAGACACAAAACTATTATCATTATTCTCTTTTCCTTTTTCTTTCACCTTTCGTATTTCTCCCAATATCTTTTTGCTGTGGAAATAGATTCCACTTGACATTTACAATGTTGATTCTATTTTAATCTTTGGCTACTCTTTCAAACATATAATTCTTCCTTTCTGATTTTGACCTGTTATTTTGGTTTTTCTCTAATGTTTTCACTGCCTGGATATAATAACTTTACTTTATTTTGCCCATTTTATTTCCCCTACTATTTGAGGTCTCTTTTCTTCTTGACTGGTTATACTGATAACTATGATCAAAGTTTCTAACTTTAGACATCAAATTTCATCTCAGGGTAATCTTAGAATCTGCCAGTTGACATGTTATTTATTGAAGAATGACTTGGAATGTACAGGCAACCTTTCCTGTTTTTAAAGAACAGCCTAAATGTCCCAGTTCCCCTGGAAGCCAATCTCTGAATGGTTACGCATCTAAAAGAAGCACAAACTGGACTTTCATGTAAGTCTTTACCAAACAGTTCTTGAGGATTTAGGAGCAGGGAATTAATATTGCACGATGCACATACGCCCACAAAAACTTCCTAGTACTCATATTTAGATAACTCTCCCTCTCCCCACAGTTCCAATCTTCACAGATGCTCTCATGTCCATTCTCTTTCCTGTCTTATTGTCTCTTTTGTACATTCTCCTTTATACCACCAAATTAGTTCTC